CTCAAAATTTTACATGATGGGAATTTATGGCTTTTGTAGTTCGCAGAACTACGAGGGGTTACCTCTCGCCACAGGAAAGGAGCCAGATGCTTCACCGGCCATAGTGGGAGGGGCTGGTAGAACCCAAAGCTGGCTGCGGATTTATGGACTCGGCTGCTCGCTGTCCTGTTTTCCTGGCCGAGATCATCAGGCCCCAAGGACTCACGCACACTGAGCAGACACCTACGCTATTTAGTAAACCAGCCTCTGTCTATTTGCCAAAGGGAATGGCCATGGCTGGAGAACGAATCTGGGGCCTTTTCCTCCTGAGCAGCTCCCTGTGCATCTTCCTCACATGGCAGACCTTTCCAGGGGCAAATAGAACCAGATAAAAAGAGAGAATAAGGGCGCACTCAAGCGCAGGGCTCAAGATTATCTTTCAGACTGTTGTAGCCGACTGGGCGACTTGCTTGGGGTCCCTCCATGCAAACGGTGTCTGTCTGTGGCATCAAGACAAGTCACCGTGAACGGGGTTTCCTTGCCCTTGTGTTTCAGTCACTCATTGGGAAGCTTTTCCAGTTCATGCTTTCCCCAGATTTTGTTAACTTCGTGGCTGTCATGACAACTGTATTCAGGCCCACAGGACTGGTATTTCTGGATTCTTTCTATGGGGTCACTTAGAGGATCCTTTCTTTTGGGGGGCTCCAGGGAGAGAGCTCACAAGGGGTGTCGGCCCTGGGTTCTGGGCGAAACCTGGCCCCAGGGCCTGAGGCCGTGAGTGTACCAGAGGCTGGCTAGCTCCCTCTAGCTTGGCTCCAGGACCAGGAAACTTGGTACTTTCAGCAGCTTTATGCTAGGTGCTTCCCTCGTAATGCATAGATATTGTGTCCAGATGTGCCCAGCCCCACGTGAACCCCTCCATGCCTAGGAGCAGGAACCCAGGAGAAAGGCCAGTGTATGGAAAAGGGCACTTCTTACTGTAATAGGCATTACTTGGACAATACAGTGGGTTCATATTTGACAATTTCATGCATACATTTATTGTACCAAGATATAGTAGGTTCATCTGGGACATCTTCATCCATGCATATACCAGGCAAGGATACTTTTTAACTACTGGAATACCAGAATTACCTTGATGTATTGGCTCAAAATGTCAGCTGTTGAGCTTGGTATTTTACTTGGGTTAGAGCTGTTTGTCAAAAGGACCTAGATTTGTATTTGTTTGTCTTATGATTTAGACAAAAATGTTTTAAACATAAATATATATTTTTTTCAATTAAGTGAGGTAAAATCTAGCATTATCACTTAATATAGATTTAGAAATAATTTACCAAAGTCAGGCGTCTCAACTAAAGAATTCTTCCAGAACTTTTTACTGTCTCAGAACACTATAACGCAATGCATATTAAGGATAGTTGAAATGGAAATATGTCACCACAGAAATCAATGTATTATTCTAAATATCTTATGGCTTGAGTATCAAATTCACCATAGGATTAGTTGAATATAAGTGTCAGATAGCGTATATGTAATAGAAGTTAGAAACTGCTAATATATAGCTTTATTTTGTCTATATTTACAACATTTTTGCTCTAATCACTGCAAAAAGCTGAAAAAACTCTAGAAGGAAAGACAGTTTTACTGTGTGTCCCTGTTTTACTCTTCATTGTTGTTTGTGCCTTCACATTACCCTGCATTCTGCCTTGTCATTTCTGACTCTTCTTCTCTTCCAGCATCATAAGTGTACATCACATCTTCTGGCCTTCATAATCTGTTGTCATTCAAATTACTTTTCCCTTAGTAAAAGGATTATTTATGTGTCTCCATGTTCATTTTTTTTTTGACTGTAGTTTCCAGAAGTTGTTTCGTTTTGGAATAGCATCTCGCCATGTAGCCCTGGCTGGCCTCCCTCTCAAAGTGATCGCCCTGCCTCAGCCTGCCAGGTGCTGGGACTACAAGTGTGTACCTCCATGCCTGGCATTTTCAGAAGTTTTCATATGCTGTATCTTGACACGAGCTTCTCTGGTTTTATCCCGTTTGGGGTGCCTTTTGGTCCATTCTGGAAAGTCTCATCTGTATTTCCAAGTCCACCCTCTTACTTCTCTCCTGCTAAAACTCTGATACCCTAAGTACTACATCCAGACAGGTTGTAGACACTCTGTTCTTTCTTCTCCGTGGGCTTCCCTCTGTTGTTTAGAGCAGCTAAATGCTATTGTTCTGTGTTCCACTTCTTTCTTTCCTCTGTCCATTCTGCCTTTTTTTCCTGTTGTCTAGATTGAGTAAATTCTGTCATTCTACACCCCACTTCCTTATTTCCTCTGGCCATTCTGCTATTTGAGCCCATGTCCCAGGGTTTTCCTTTTATTTTTATTTTATTTTTTGGTGGAGCCAGGGATTGAACTCAGGCCCTTACGCTTGCAAGGTAAGCGCTTATTCAACTGAGCTATCTCCCAGCCCTCCTTTTATTTTAATCACTATTTTTCAGCTGTAAATTTCCTCTTGGTGTTTCTCTTTTTCTACTTTGTTGAGGCTTTGTAATTTTTAATTTCAAGCAATGTTCATAATTATTTAGTGAAGCATGTTTATTATGGCTGTTTTAAAATCCTTGCCAGATAACGCTAGCGTCACTTGAGTGCTGGGCTGTCTTTTCTAACTCACACTGCCTGGTTCTGAGTATGACAAGTGATGTTTGAGTGAACACAGGGACAGAGATGCTGGATCCCAATGAAATCTGTGGTAGCAGCCTCCTGTGGCTTAGCTCTGGTGGACAGGTCCAGGACCCCCCCACCCCCACCCAGGCTTGTGTTCTTTTGCAGAGAAGAGGGCTGCTCATTACTGCAAAGCCATTAGGCTCCCCACCTGACATCTGACACCTCCCTGACTGGGAGGGTTTCTCCCCTCTTCCCGTGTGCTTTGAGCCTCCACCTCAGCTGAGGGAGCATGCTGCTGACCGTGTGTGTGGCAGAAGCCTTGCCCCCAACGCCAGCACGGTGCTGGGTCTGTATGGCTCTCTTCTTCACCATGCAGAGCTTCAACGTTCCAGAGCAAGGTGCTTGACACAAACTGAGCAAGTTCTCACCTGACATTTTCCAGACCACTGAAAGAGATCGGCAGAGCTTTCTTGGAGCAGGCGGGGCTTCTTGGTAATCTTCTTGCTGTGGGAGTTCATAGCTTCCTGTTGATTTCCTCACGATGGTCTCTCCGTCGGGCAGCCCTTCTTCATAGCGCCTTCCTACGTCAGTTAGTGGCCAGTTCACAGATTGACATTTGGTGGTTGGTGTCTTCAGGCGGGAGCTTTTGGCCAATCGCCAGTTGAGAATTTAAACTATAATCACCTGGTGCCGTGGGTTCCTTTGCACACCTGAGGCCCTCTGTCACGGTCCTCTCACTTGTATCTAAATCAAGAGACTGGTTCAGAGTATGAATATAGATCACACACACTGGCCAAAGAAAGATTTCTAACCAGAGAAAGTAAATCTGTGATGTCAGTGGCAAATTTTAAAAGATTAACATGAACTCTTTCTTAGCATTCAGCTGTACAGATAGAGTTGAAGTATATAGCAAATCTCCCCATTTTTCCAAGCCCATCTGCTCTGCTAGCTGATTCTAAGCTGAAGCGTTTCTATATACAGACACATACCCTGTGTCTATGTCTATTTTTGTCTGTCTGTGGAATTGTGTGTGGGTTTTTAAAAGAGGATTGTAGTATACATCATCTTCTGCAGCTTGCTCTATTCGCTTTACAGTTGTTCTATAGATCTGACTACCAGAATTCAATCCTAGCGTTAGCCCGCACTGGCTGCCTCTCTGAGCCTCAGTTTCCTCATCTGTGAAATGAGAATAATAATGACCTGGGTTTGAGCAGTCAGTATCCATCAGGCACTTAGAAAAGGAACTGGTGGTATATTACACACTGTGAGTAGGAACTACTTATAAAAACAGTGCAGTAGCACCACTGACAGCAGCGTCTCAGATTTAATATTACCTACCATTTTGTGACATAGCTAGATCAGAATTTTTATTTCTTTTTGTGAAACTGGGGATTGAACTCAGCCCCTTGCGCTTGCCAGGGAAGCACTTATTCCACTGAGCCATCTCCCAGCCCCTAGATCAGAATGTTTGATAATCATTCCTCTACAAATGGCCCCTGGATTTCACATATCACAAGTCTGACTCTGGGGAAGACCTCAGGCCTGACAAATGAATTCCAAGTACAGCTGGTTTCACTGCTTGGGAGCCTCTAGGGCAAGAGGACAACAGGGTCCCAGATGCAGCTCACAGCTTTGTATGTCCTTCTGTCCCCAGCAAATTGCCATCGCTCGGGAAGGCGACCTGCTGACCAAGGAGCGGCTGTGCTGTGGCCTGTCCATGTTTGAGGTCATCCTGACCCGCATTCGGAGCTACCTGCAGGACCCCATCTGGCGGGGCCCGCCACCCACCAATGGCGTCATGCACGTGGATGAGTGCGTGGAGTTCCACCGGCTGTGGAGTGCCATGCAGTTCGTCTACTGCATCCCTGTGGGCACCAATGAGTTCACAGCTGAGTATGTACCTCCAGGGGGGCAAAGCTGCCCATGAACCTGCTTGTCCCTGAGAGAGCCATTGGGGTGCCACTGGGGTACCAGGAACACGGGTAGGGACCTGGCCAGCCACCAGTTGCTCTGTTGAGAGTGTCTGTGGTGTGCCAGGGGCCGGACCTGCAGCAGCGCTGGCCAGAAGGATGGTTCCTGCCCTCCTGTAGTTTAAGGGGCCAGCAGATGTCTACGCAGTCAGGAAGAAAGGGGCACAGATGGCAGAGAGCAGAGATGAACAGGTCTTCAGACTTTAACTCACAGGTTAGAGACCCGAGCTTCCCGAAGAGCCTGGGTGTCCCAAAGGGCACAGAGAAGAAGGGGACATTCTGGGGAAGGTAGCCATCAGCCACAGGCAGAAAGCAGTGTACGCAAGTAACCATTTAGGGTGAGCGTCCTCAGGGCCTCACCTTCCTAATAGGACAGTAGGTGGAACGCATGGGCAGGAGCCCAGTGAGGCGTGGCATTAAGAATCTCGCTTCACCCCCACACAACTCCACTCAGGAAAATGAGCACCCTTCCAAGACTTCCAGTCTTGCCTCAGAGTGGACAGAAGCAGGGCCCAGCTCTTCCCGCACTCAGCCGGCTATTTATCAAGGACAGAGTGATAGAGAAGGAAGCCAGGCCTGCCCTCCAGAAGCCAGCAGTAAAGCAGAGAAACTACAGCCCAGACAGGCTCCTGAGGGAGCTGTGTCAGGACAACAGGGATGGGAAGGCCAGCCCAGCACCGAGAATCACACGTGTTCAGAACCGCTGGGTCCTATGTACTTCCAGGACAGTTTTGAGAAGATAGAGGGATATCCTCACAGCCACCTACTTGTCTCTTGTGACTTGGGGCCTGCAGTCAGAGCTTCAGCAGATCCCAGGGAACTCACAGCCTCTCTGTACCCCTAGCACCTGCTCCTACCCACTCACCATGCCTCGGCACTGCCTGCCAAACCTGTTCTTGCATGATTCTCTTCCTCAGAGAGCCAGGAGCGATCCTCCTTTGACTTGCCTGTCAAAGCTGGTTGGATGTTTTTCCTGTAAACTCATTTCTTTTGTTCAAGATGACTTTTTGTTTTTGTTACCTCAGCAGGATCAATACCTCTTAGTGTGAAGGTCTTAGATGTTGGAGCAAATCGGCCTCACAGCGCCCCTCGTGCCTTCTCCAGAGTTCAAGTCTCGGCGCAAGGCGGGCCTGCTCACTCCCTGTACTGCACCCCAAGCTGGAGGTCCTCCTCCCTGGCCCCTCACTTGAGCTCTTCTCCCTACTCCAGGCAGTGTTTTGGCGATGGCTTGAACTGGGCTGGCTGCTCCATCATCGTTCTGTTGGGCCAGCAGCGTCGCTTTGACCTGTTTGACTTCTGTTACCACCTGCTGAAGGTGCAGAGGCAGGACGGGAAGGACGAGATCATCAAGAACGTGGTGAGCAGGCTGGGAGCGGGAGGTGGGGCTGCCTCACATCTGCTTTGACTTGAAGAGGGCAGGCAAGCAGCTCCAGGATGCAGACATGTGTTGTCTGGGGGCTGGCAGAGGCGTGAGTCACTGCTCATAGCCCACTGAGATGAATCCAGTCCCCCTAGAGGGCAGGACTCGGCTTCTGACCCGGAATACACACCCCGTCACAGGCAGCTGCTGAGGCTGGCATCTTATTGGCGTCTCCACCGAACAGTAGAGTTGAGCTGGGCCCTGGGATAGGACAGGAGCCAACCTGGCTAAGTGAGGCTCTTGTGGGAGACACAGGTAGGAAAAGGTGGTCAGTGCCAGGCTGTGTGGCCGCCACCTACAAATGGCACGCAGGACTTGGGTGGACAGGGCAGACAGAAAGGCCAGCTAGAGCAAAGGCATGGTAGGTGGCTAAAGCAGGCCGACATCAGGGACCATGTGAGAGGAGACAGGGGCAAGAGCCACCTTACAAAGAGTGGTACAAAGACTGTGGAAAAAAAAAAGGTTTAACGTTGTGACCAGTGGCACACAGCTCAGTGATGCTGAGCACATTGTGAAGTGTTTATCCCTTTCCTCAACCAAGACTGTATGTATTAGTAACTCTGGTCCCTGACAGCTGCTCTTCAGCTATTGCTGTGACTCTGACCACTGAGTGCCTTAAACAAGTGAGACCCTAGGACATTAGTGTCTAATATCGATTTGGTTTAGTGTCCTCAACATTTACCCACATTCTAGCGTACGTCCAAACTGCTGCCTTTTAAGGATGAATAGTATTTCATTGTAATTATACACCACGTTTTATCTAAAGCAAAGTCCACTGCTGGATACAACCAGGATACACCCTGGTTGTATCCATCTGTTATCTGCTGTGCTGCTGCAAAGTCAGGAGTGCACACACCCGAGTCCTTTCTTCCATCCCCCAAACAGGACTGCGAGGTCGCACGGTGACTGTGCAGTCCACGGAGGGGCTGCTGCGCCGCTTTCCGTAATGAGTGTACCATCTTATTTCCCAGAAGTGATGCTCAGGAGCTCCGACTTCTCCACATCCCATCCGTGTTTTACTAGGATTTCTTCTAAGATTTGTATAGTTACAACTCTTACATTTACCCCTTTTTATCCATTTTGAGCTAATTTTTGTGTATGATACAAAATGAGGCTACAGAATTGTTGTTCTTCATGTAGATAACCTGCCCTCTAGTGCCATTTATTGAAAAAAATCACTTTCCCCTTTTCACCCTTGTTGACAATCACTTGCTCATATATGCAAGGGCTGACCTTTCGGCTCTCTAGCCTACTCCAGTGGCCTAGATAGCTGTCTTTATACCACTGCCACACTGGTTTGATTATGGTAGCTTAGTAATAAGTTTTAAAAGTTGCAAAGATTTAATTTGTGGATCCGTAGAAGACCTTTAGGTGAAACAGTGACACAGTCATTAAAGCTTTGAGGTCCTGGACTCTGGCCTCACTGAAGCCTCTTTTTCTCACTTTCTCTACATGTCCCTCCCACCTTAATTGTCCTCGTCCTCTTGCAGCCCCTGAAGAAGATGGCTGACCGAATCAGGAAGTACCAGATCTTGAACAATGAGGTTTTTGCCATCCTGAACAAATACATGAAGTCTGTGGAGACAGACAGCTCCACTGTGGAACACGTGCGCTGCTTCCAGCCACCCATCCACCAGTCGCTGGCCACCACCTGCTAGGCAGAGGCCCTGCAGAGCCTCGACCTGGAGGTGCGAGGAGAATCAGGAAAGAAAAATGAACAGCCTGCAACTGGGTCCAGGGGGGCAGGATGTGGGACGGGCCCGAATGCCCCGACCATGCCTGGGGCTTGGCTTGTGCATGCTCTCCCATGACATCTCCATGGTGGTCCTTCCATAGTGTAAATCAAAACAAAGTAACAGGGCAGCGTGTGCTTTCTTTTCTTTTTTTTTTTTTCCCCCTCAACCATGTTCAGGAGCCCCTGTTCCACCCTTTCCCACCCTACAGTCCTCCCATCTGTGGTTGCTCCCCAAGACCTCCTCCCAAGAGGACCTCCAGTCTAGTTCCCACATACGGCCCCCGGACCAAAGTCTTAGACACAGAGCAAGTGTGGCCATGCCAGAGATGTCATCCTGCCCTCCCCGTGCCTCGTCTCCCTGGCTTCCTTCTCCTCCAGCTCCTTCCCTCTAGTTCCCCTGGCACATCTCCTCCTTCTACAGACCTTAGAAATACCACCTCTGCCACCAAGAATATGCTTGGGCCAGAGACTGAGAGCCGTGGTTGTCCAGGAAGCAACTCCTGGTTCATCACGGTAACTGGTGATACGAGTTCTGGCTTTTCACTGGCTCCCCCTCAAAAACTCCCCTTCTCCGAACCTTCCTAGGGAAGAGTCAGAAATGCTTTTACAGCTGTTTCCCACTGAGTGGAATTGGGTGAGGAAGATAGTGAGGCCTGCTGTGTGGAAGTAGCCTCTGTGAACTCAGCCAGGAATTCCACAGCCTCAGACAGAGAGCTGTAAACTGTCTCATCAACTTAAATGTTCAGCTCTGAGCCCTACAGGGCAATAGACGTTGAGGGCACAGCATTGAAAAAGCAGGTCATAGAGCTCCCACAGCCTCAGCCAGTGACCAATCTAGTGTCTACTGCTTGGCACGGAATCTCTCATTAAGGGAAACTCCCACAGGAAAGAAGATGGGCTATCTCAACAGGCACCACAAACATCCTGGGGACAAGGCGGTGAGGAGTGAAGACATACCCCCAAAGGGAAGTCTTCTAGTGAACTAGAACTTCCACTGTCCATTTTGCTCTCTACTTCCTGTTTTCCTAATGCTCCTCAAGTTAGATTTTGGGATCTATATTCTCTCACAGGGTTATATTTACTTCCATTTTCCTGACTGAACCAAAATTCCTCCTCAGAATCTCAGTCACCAAGTGTGGTGAGATCTTTAGGAAAAGAGACCTTCAAGATGCTCGTTACAATAGATCATTTTCAAAGGAGCCTGGCCCTGAGCTTCAAAGAACACATTAAGTGGAATGTTTAATACATCTTGCCCAGGAAGGAAAGGAAAAGAGAAAAAAATGGAAAAAATAGCAGCAACCCAGTCCCCTAGGACATGAACTGAAATGGTTACCATTAACCAGATGGTTTGTATTGAACCACATGATAAAGGAAATGTCCATAGCCAGAAGTTGGTGTGACCCACTTGTGTCAAGTAAGGCCCAAAGGCCACCTTGGTCAGAGCTTCTCCAACAAGCATACTTGTGTGCAGGTTTTTGGGGGCCCAAATTGGAGAACCACTACTATAGAGAAATCTTTCTGGGTCTTGAGCTACCTCTCGGGCATGAGAGAAATTTTGGGGCTGCATTTTAGGAAGATGGCTCAGAAGGGAAGTCGGCAGATTCTGCCCCACACTGCCACTTCCTATCCTATTTCTTCTGGTTGGCCCTGGATGAGTCCCAAAGTCAGCAGAGAGATGATGCCGCCTGGAGAATGACCTGGTAGACCATGCTATCAGAACCCATATTAAATCTCTTAAGTTCCAGGACCTTCTGAACCTCCAATTCTATCTGGAAACAGTAGCTGGCTCTTTTAGACAGATGACTAGCTTTTAATTCTACGTTTCATTCCAAATCTTTGACCACTGCTTTGTAGAGATAGGGACCCTCCAGTTAACGAGATTGCTGTTTCAGCAATTCGACCCTCCCACCCTATATTCATAACCCCAAAGTTGACCCTCTGGGAAAAACCACATTCTCCTCAAGTGATTCAATCCCAGCGAATTGAGGTTTTCACTTTCAAGCGAGCTTTTCATTTCCTCGGCTCATCAGTAGCACTTACTTATGAAAACTGGATGAGTGTCATTCTTTCCTCCCTAGTACTGTTACTGACCCCCCACTTTTGATTTTTTTATGTGTCTTAAGGAAAAAAGCTCAGATTTTAAAAACTTTAACATTCTGTTTGAAAAACTGTTAAATGTACCATATTTGTATTAAGAGTTGTTGGGGATTTTTGTACAATGAATTCACATTTATTTATGGTGACTTCTATCTACGCTTGTGATCAAATAATGTTAAATTCTGAAATCATATTTGCTATGTAGCTGAAGATGATCCTTTGATTTGTATTTTGGGGGTACCTGTGTTAAGTAACATTTTCATCTCCATTAAATCTGCTTCCAAACCGGTCAGACCCGCACCTTCGTCCTCATGCTTGGTCGTTTTCCAATCCTTGTTGCTCTGTGGAGGCCACGTTACAATAAATGACTGAGGAAACAGCCTGAGAGAGTCCCAGAAAATAAAAAGATACCAGGTCAGTACTCCCTCAACTGACAGCTTCTTTTGCTTTTTCACTGGGAGAATTATATCTTTAAAAGTTAATTTGAACTGGCAAGGTACAGAAAATAATGTCTGCTCTGGGGAGTCTGTCGTCCCTCAATGTAAACTGCACACTCTATCCTTAGGAGGAAGAACGGAAACTCACATGCGAGGAAGCCTCCTACATAGGCACCACGCTGAATCCTTTTAACAAAGCACAGTCCTTCTGTGGTATGTCACACATTTGAAGGATTTGCCATTGTGTGTTGATTTGCACAGGTACTAAGTGACAAACCTGGAATGTGACTGGAGCTCCAGAGCAGGGCCTTGTGCCATAACCGCAATGAACTGATAGGCCAGGCCTCAAAGCAAGATTTGCAGTTTGGTCACAGGACCTTTGGAGCCTTTGGGACATAAAACTGACCAGAGCATGTTATCAAGAGACAGCCCTCCAGGGTGGCTGGGAATTCCCAGGCTTAAGGAGAAAGGCTGGTGTCCGGGGATCTGTCCCTGTTTTAGTTTGCCTCTGGAATAGGTCATCCCGGAAAGCCGGGTGCTGCGTTAGCAGCAGAAGAGAGTTTGGAAGTGGCTCGTGAGAGTCCTAACTTCATCAGTGAAGCAAACCACTCATGATGGATTCATAACTGTAGGCATTGTTGGATTGGTGGTGGATTATTAGGAGGTGGAGCCCAGTCGGATGAAGAACTCCACAGGGGTGTGTGTGAGCGAGAAGACTATGCTGTTTGCAGTCCCTTCCTGTCTGACTCTTTCTCTCTGCTTCCTGGGGCCCGTGAAGCCGTGGTGTGAGCCACTTTCCCCCACTACGCCTCCTGCCGTGGCGCTTCTGCCTTGCCATGGGTCTAAAGGCTGCAGAGCCAGCCAAGCTGAGCTAACACACAAGCACAAAGAGCTTAGTTTGGCCCACGGTTTCTGAGATTTTCATCCAGTCAGTTGACTTCGTTCCCTGCGGACCTGTGGTAGGGCGCATTGTGGTGGAGCAAAGCTGCAACAGGATCCCAGGAGGTTAGAGACGCTGCCCCGCTTCCTGAAGCCCAGTCCGTAGCTGGGATCCACGGTCTGCGCTGCCGCTGCCACTGCTTAGGATACTGTCATGTCTCATCAGCCCAGGGCCCAGGGTCATCAGTCGGAAGTGTATCCGTCTCCAGAGCAGGAGCCACGCTGTGGTCTAATGGCTCTTGTCCCCAAATTGCCATTGTACTCAACCTTCTGGGCTCAAACTGAAAGAGGCCTTAAACTCAGACCTGAGCTTTGTGTGCAGTCTACATTTCACCATGGGTTAGAGAATCAAAAGAATCAACAGGCACCCCAAGCCCCTGAGGTCACAATTCGGTTCCCAAGTGCTTGGATCAGGGGCTGTGGCACCAAAGCTGCTACGAGCACTTGTACTCTAAAAGCCAGCATTGCAGCTGATGGTTGGGCCATGTTGGACTCAATATCAAGAGGTACCACTTGCTATAAGACCCCACTGTGAGAAACTATGGAAAAGGAGAACCCCAAGCCCCGCCAAAGACTCTAACCTGTGCTGCCACCCTGTCCCACAGCCTAGACCACTGAGGTACCCGGCGTCTGCTGTTGTGGGTCATGGCTGAAGACTGCACATGGAGGTCACACCACTACGTCTACTTGGGACCAAAGCTAACACACCACCCCAGCTGCCCCACTAGCTGCACCTGTGGGTAAAGCTCTGTCCCTACCAAGGCTACCCTTCAAAGCCTAGAGATGGTTATTCTTCCAGATGAGCAGATATCTGCACCAGGTCAAAAACATTTAAAAAAAAAAAGAAAAGAAAACATGATACTACCAATAAGTGATCTGGAAGAAAGTCAAACCTATTGGGCTGGGGAAATGGCTCAGTAGCATAAGCGCTTGCCTGGTAAGTGCAAGGCCCTGAGTTCAATCCTCAATACTGGAAGAAAAAAAAAAAAAAACCACTATGAATTATCTGCAAGGAAACTCAGAATAATAATCTTAAGGACAGTGAAACATAAGAGAATAGACAAACCAATTAAATCATAAAAGCAATTCATGATCTCAATGGGAAATTCAACAGAGACAGATGCCATTTTAAAAGCCAACCAGTGATCAAAAACACCAAGTAGAGGCACCCAGCACACAGCTCCTCCTCCACACAGAACTCATGGGAAAAAAATCACTGCATTCTGGGGTGAGCAACTATGCAAGGACACTGGGAATCAGCTGGGTGGAAACTGGAACTTTGTAAAATTGGAAGACCTGGGACCACAGCAGACTAAGAGAAACAAAATGCCCTGGCATCTGTCACTCCATCTCTGTAGTGGGAAAGTCCCAAGCAGGGGTAAAGGTGAAAGAGTCCCAGCGAGCTATCCATGTGGATGCTGGCAATCTTAACCCCGGAGCGTTCTGAGCTCCTGACGTGCTTGCTTCCCACCTGCATAAGTAGCCTGAAATCTGCACAGAAAGCTTCTTTGGAAAGGATCTCACATCACCTTCCCACGAACATCCGGGACACTCGAGCCAAGTCCCATCTTCAGAAGTGAGCTGTCAGAGCTTCAACTGCCCTAGGGGTCAGCCATTTCTGGATGTCTCTATCTCTGGGAATCCAAGGACATTTCATGGCAGGAGCTCATGGGGTGGCCGCCTTGTGAACCCCACTTGGCCTAGTACAGTGACTATAACATAAACCTGCTGGATTATGAAGTAGGATATGGGTGCTCCCACTGAAATGGCAGTGGATGCTTCTGTGAGAACTGGACTGGAGAGCTAGTCCTCTGGATGGAGGGTGTAGAGCAGGCATGTGCCTAGAAGCAGGCACTTGTGTAGCACCCAGAAGCCTACCTCAGGTCTCAACACTCAGACATCTGTTACCAACAAGGTGGAGAGAGAACACCAAAGTCACTGCTGCTTTTCTTTTCTACCCGCGAGGACACTGAGGTGTCCTTACACAGCCTCCGGTCTCTGGCTCTTGCCCAGCCCCTAAACACACACAGTTAAAAGGAGGCTAAGAGCAGATGCGCTCATCTGCAGCTATAGCCTGGCTCCAGGGTGCACCCCGCCAGGAGCAGGAAGGAAGCTTCTGCCGCCATCCTTCTCCACAGCTCCCGCTGTGTACCTGGGCTGCATCTTATCTGCCAGGCATTGTGGCCAGGACTGGCCATGAGCTCCTCAGGGGAGTGCTGTGGTTTTCACCTCAGGCACAGTACACAGACATCTGCTATCGCTACTCAGGCAGCCTCTGAGCCTGCACCGCTGGTCAAACAGAGGACAAGGACATCACGCCAGCCCTCCCATGCCTTGTTATCAATGACAAAAGCCCTTGTTGGTGGCAGAGCTAAAGCCAGCCACAGCTGAGATGTCCATGACTCAATGCAGACCACCACGTCTGCTTATGAGTCGCTCACGACACCCACATCCTCTGTTGTCTGGGTCACATTTGCCCTGAGCCTTGCAGCGTCTGGCTCTTGGTGGCTTCCAGAGAAGATTGTCTCTCCAAGAGATCTCCAGGATGATCTCTCCTTTTGACCTATGCAATAGGTCAAAGTAACTAATCATACCAAAACAAAAAGCTATAAGGAGAGTACACTATGATGCCCAACTAGAAATAAAGTTAGCATTGCATAACAAACCAACTCCCCACAACAAATTTTCAGGACAAAGGTTCTTAGTAAACAGGCCAACCAATTAAAGTGGGGAGACAGCTGGCCAGCTGGATGCACATGTCGCAACTTAAGGCACAAGGAATAGAAAAAGCCAAAGGGACATGAACAGAATAACTCTAGCCACAGGTTTCTGCCCCCTAAGCAACTGATACAAATGAAATGTCTGATTTTGAAAAGCTTCAAAGAATGACTGCAGAAAAGCTCAGTGCGGGCCAAGACAATGGAGATGAACAGGTAAGTCAAACTGGGAAGTCGGTGCAGAACATGAACGAGAAATGAGAACACAAATAGATTTTGAAAAACAGCAAACCGGAAATCTTAGAAATAAGTAGTTCAAAAAATAAAAGTACAGTCTAAGCCCTCAACAGCAGATCAGATCGAGCAAAAGAAACAATATCTGAACTTGAAATAAGCCTTCTGGATGTCCTCGTCAGTTTTTTTTGTTTTTAATGAAGAGGGACTAGGGAGATATCTCAGCAGCATAAGTGCCTGCCTTGCAAGTTCAAGGTCCTGAGTTCAATTCCCAGTACTGCAAAAAAATTAAATAAATACATGAATGAAGAAAACATTCAATACCATTGGGTTATCATTAAATAAACAAATATCCATTTTTTTTGATGAACCAAAGATGAAAAGGAAGTACAATGGTACAGAAAACCTTTTAAAAGCAACAGCAGAAACTTCTCTAATCTTGGGGAAGAGACGGACACCTGCATAGAAGAGGCTAAAAGTACTCCAAGTAGACACAGGCAAGAAAAAGAAAAACATGATATATTACAATCAAACTCACAAGTACAAGACGCCACTAAGAAGATAACAATGTACAGTATATTGACTATCCAAACTGTCCTATTAATCAGCTGTGAAACTGTCTCATTCATATTTATTTCTCAATAAAAAATATATAAAAAAACAAGTACAAGACAAAAATGATAAAAATTGGCAAAAGAACAGTAAAAGAAATCACCAGTGTGAAAAAAACAATCCACAGTGTAGGAAAAAAAAAATTGTATCAGCTGTTCTTCAGACAAAGGACTAATATTAGAACATATAAAGAATTTAAAAAAAAAATTAGACCCTCCAAATTCAAATTCTCGGTCTGAAAATGGGCATCTGAGATGAATACACAACTTTTCTTCTTTTTAAATATTTTTAATGTATTTGGTTGTTGCAGGGTCTCACCACACAGCTCGGACATGGTGATCTTCCTACTGTCA